ACACAGGTTCTCCGCGTGCTTCCGAACACCAGCATCAAACTGTGCGATTATAACTGTAAGAGTAACGTCGCTTCACACTATTGGGAACATATTAGGTGTATAAGGATATCATTAAGTCCTCTATTCTGACCGTCATATGTATCGTTTAGAAGTGATTAATGGACGTCGGTGATAGCGTAAGACTGATTGAGAAAGCATGATTTCTGGGCCCGTTCGCGGCTCCTCCGTGTTCCTTAGGATAATTAGAAAACGTGATAATTAAAAGTGTCTACGAGCAAAAGCAAAATTGCGAACTATCGTGGAACCGGGTAAGAGGCTCAGAAATCATTCTACGATTATAAGAAACATCCCACGAAACGCTCCTTTCTCGATACTCCATGTTGGTCCCAACATCTCATTCTTTCCCCGGAACGATTCGTGATTACGTGATATTGCAAGATAAATGAACGAAGCAGGTGTAGTAGAATAAGAAGGGGAAAGTATACGCGAGAACGGATTGTACAAACGGGATAATCGTATTTCGACAATTGTATTTCACACGAAAGGTGGCACAGCAGAGGTGCGAGTCGACGGCGCCGGCGGCGGCTGGCAGAGCAGCAACAAAACCGAAAAACAGCAACACTCGGAGGCATACGGCTTCCGTGCCGACAATCCTCGCGCGTCCCGCCTCACCCCGGAACCCCCAGCTCTCTCCGTTGCAGGTCCGTTCTCTTCTTTGCCAATTAAGGAGAATCTTTCACCGAATTCATCGCCGACACACTCCACCGATCTGTTTTCTGTCGACACGCTTCCTATCCGCACTTCGTTTCACCTCTCTTCTCTTCGTTTCCTCCACACACTCGCCTTTATCTGCGCTCCGCCATCTTAGATGCTTAAATTAGTTCTTTATTAGATCCTCGCTCGCAGGTTCCTTTACGTGTGCTCGAATTTTTAGCCTCGATCATTCCCAGTGTGCCTGGTACGCTTTTCGCCAGTTCAAACTCGTGTAATTGTTCCGAAAGCTTGCAGTGCTGTTAACGATGCGATCGTCGATACACGTAGACGAACCTGGCCAGTGGCTGTGTATGTACATACCGTTCCTCCTCTACTTCAGTTTGCCTTGGTACACCAGCCTCCATCTTCCATTTCCACGCGCGCTTAGTGTTCGGGGGTGGCAAGGGTGAAAGCGAAGCGAAGACGAACAGGGACGAGGAATAAAATAGAATTCTGTTTGCAGAGCTGATGAGGTCTCCAGCAGTGAGGTGGTCCAGCAGAAGTTGTCGCAGCTTGCCTCCAACGCCCACGCCGAGTTATCATCACCCGCTCCACCCCCCACTGCCAGCGGTGGGCATGGTCGCCGAGAGGAAGAAACGTTTCGAGCTCTGAATTGCTAATCACGGGTATACCATCGAGTCATCCGGGGACGATTCAGCGTAGCGATCATCAAGCACGACACACGCCATCCACGATAACTCGCTGAATATCACGCAAATTAATTCGCACGTACGATTGTCTTCGAATGGTGCTACACACATACACTGGTTGCTCGTTCTTAAGTCTTCCTCGAGAGAAGACACATAGATTTCGACTTATACATTGTCACCCGTGAACGAATAGCATTTTTCTTGCATTTTATTCATTTTCTTTGATATTCCGAATCATTTGTTAATTATTTCCGGTTTGTTCTCTGTTTTTTTTTTTTTTTT